TTTTTGGTGCTGGGAATTGACTCCAGGGCCTTGTGCATGCAAGGTAAGCACTCTACCAGTTGAGCTATACCCCTAGTCCAGGATATATTTTTATTACTGTTTCCCCTATTGGTCCTGTGTTTTTTCTTTTTTTTTATACCAAGGATTGAACCCAGGGATGCTTAACTACTGAGCCACATCCTCATCCCTTTAATGTATTTTATTTAGAGATGGTTTTTCTGAGTTGCTTAGTGCCTTGCTGAGTTTCTTAGTCCTTGCTGAGTTGCTGAGGCTGGCTTTGAACTCATGATCCTTCTGTCTCAGCCTTCCAAGTCTATAGGATTACAGGCATGCACCACTGCCCCCAGCTCCTGGCCCTTATTTTTGAAAATAGTTTTTATTGGTGCATTATAATTATATAAAATAGTGGGATTTATTGTGACATATTTAAACATGCACATAATTTGAAAGATCTTTTTTATTTTGAGGGTACTGGGGATTGAACTCAGGGGCAATCGACCACTGAGCCATATCCCCAGCTGTATTTTATATTTTATTTAGAGATAGGGTCTTACTGAGTTGCTTAGCACTTCACTTTTTTTGCTGAGGCTGGCTTTGAATTTGTAATCCTCCTGCCTCAGCCTCCCAAACTGCTGGGCTTACAGATGTGTGCCACCATGCCCAGCTTTTTAGAACTCTTTTATGTTTATCTTTATAACTTTTCATGTTCAAAATATCTCATTTATTCTTTAAAGGTGAGGAAAATGACCACGTACAAAACTTTAATCACAGCAAAATCTACACGAGCCTAGGAAACGGCCCTGGATTGTTCCTGACAAACATCCTGTGAAAACCTGGTTCAGGAAAAACTCACTTTCATACATTGAGTTAGGTGAAAGGAACCAGCAAAGGATCTCTCTGAAGACACTGCACACCTAGGAAGTGAAGGAAACACAGATGGATGAGTCAGAGCATTACTGCAAGATATTTCCACAAGGATTTTAAAAAGCAGGATAAGGCATTCATCAAATGATGCCCATTGATAAAGCCATCACTTCTGCAAACCAAAGATTGTGACTTTTTTTTTAAAATATTTTTTTAGTTGTTGATAGACCTTTATTTTATTTATTTATACATGGTGCTGAGAATCATACCCAGTGCCTCACACATGCCAGGCCAACGCGCTACCACTGAACCACAGCTTCAGCCCGAGACTTGTGACTTTTGAAGAGATAAAACACTACCTGACCAAGCTCAGGGACAGAAGAACTCAAGTTGGAAATGATGTGCTCCAGATCCGACCATGGGAAAAGATTGAGTCACTATTTTCTGTGACTTAGAGAAATATTTTATTCTTCAAACCTCATGATATAATTTTTTTTAAAGATCATTCTTCTTTTTAACCATTAATTAATTAATTATTTTTTAGGTGGTGCTGAGGATTGAACCCAGTGCCTCACATGTGCTAGGCAAGCACTCTACCACTGAGCCACAACCCCAGCCCCCTCATGATATAATTTTGATTTACAAATGACAGTTAGAAAATGTTTTTTTTAATATTTATTTTTTTTAGTTTCAGGTGGACTCAATATCTTTATTTTACATTTGTGTGGTGCTGAGGATCGAATCCAGGGCCTTGTGCTAGGCGAGCACACTACCATTGAGCCACAACCCCAGCCTGAAAATAGTTATTTTTAATATTTATTTTTAGGTGTAGTTGGACACAATACCTTTATTTTATTAATTATTTTTATGTGGTGCTAAGGATCGAATCCAGGTCCTTGCACATGTTAGGTGAGCGCTCTACCTCTGAGCCACAACCCCAGCCCAGAAAATATTTTTTAAAAACTGTGTCTGTATTAAACATGTACAGACTTTTTTCAAACAATACAGTATAATAACCATTTACATAACATTTACATTGCATGAGTTATTATAGATGATATAGATGATTTAGAGTATATGGGAGGAGCTGATATAGTAGTGCATGTCTGTGCTTGATGGGTCTCTTGAGAGCTTTAGGATAGGGGCTGGTCACCCACTGGAACCAATCGTATGAATAGAGGGTAGGAATTTTCAGGGAAAGGAGAGGGCCTGGAGATTGCAATGACAAATGATTTAATCAGTCATAGTACATAATGAAACCTCCATGAAAATCCCTAAGCTGTGGGTCTGGGGAGCTTCCAGGTTGGTGAATACATGACAGTGCTGGAAGAGTGGTGTACCCAGAGAGGACATGGAAGCTCTGTCCCTTGGGGACACCCAGGACATATGTCTGGCATTTGTCATGGAGGCATTCCTATGAGATCAAGCCCTTGTCCTGTGGGATCTGAAATAGTATCAGAATGGAATTGATTGTAGGATACCCAGCTGGTAGAGAATTGGAGAAGTGATTATTAAAATGAATGAGAGCAGGGTTGGGGATGTGGCTCAAGTGGTAGTGCGCTCGCCTGGCATGCGTGCGGCCCGGGTT